GATCAAGAAGGGTCAGGATGATTCTCTACACCATATGTCACTAAGCCACAGTACATCGGCTCCAGTGGAATATGCTGTCCTCCAACCATCAAATGATCTTATCCAAGATGGAAGGAAGGATATTAATTATGTATCTCCCGAAGACATGCGAAATGTATCTCTACAAATTATGGACTTGCAAAGGAAACGTGTATCTGGAGAAGTGAACCCTGCAGCTCTAGCACATCAACATGAAATGAAAGAAAGGCGTGACAGTGATTACGGCCACCAATACCCACCCAGTTGGTCATCATCACACAAACCGTACGTTTCTCACCTAGATTCACAAAGTCCAATTCATCAGTATTCTGATAGTATAGGATCTCATGGCTCCCAGCAATCATTAACGCATTCATATCAACGGTTGGAAAGTGTGAATTCACATGTTTCGCAGCAATCTATTTCATCCCAGGAAGTGTACCATCCACGCTCTGAAAGTGGATTATCCTTAGGTTCACAGCACTCTCTAGAAGGTCCAATGGATCTAAGTATTCATCCTGCGCAACATTCCCCAAGCTTCAAGCACCATTTTGAACGCCAGCTATCTTCTCATTCTCAACCATCACCATCTTCACAACTAGCCTTTTCATTTTCACAAGATAAATCGTTAAATCGACTTTCGCAGGAAGGCCCAAAGGGGATTCCATCAAAAGCAAGCAGTCCAAAAACAATTCAATCTCCTCAAGCTAAGAAGAAAGCACACCCGCGCATGGGTATCCTAGCAGCTAGATTACACCAGAGTAGCACAAAGACAGGGACACAACCAACAGGACAGGGTACACGAGACATTGTCTCACAACCAAAGATTCATCACTATGATACTGTTCAACCGCCGGGACCAAGAACATCTTCCCCTTCAAGGTATTCCGGAGATTTGAGTCAGGTTGAAGGGGGAGTTACTGCCTCACACATTCATCAACAGCAGACTCTGCCCTTTCAGGAATCCAAACAGCCAAGGACAGGCAGTATATCAAGGGATAAAGTTGATCTTCAAAAACCAGAATCAGTAGAAGAGCTTGTAAATCAAATGAATACATATTTAGAACAAGAAGCAATGAGTAGTGTTAATTCCTCAGGTACACCAACAGTTCCAAGTTTTGAGCATAAAAAAGAGGCAAGCTTTAGACATCAACATTCTGATAGTCAACTTTCCCAGATGTCTCGAGCCTCTCATTCTTCACAACATTCTGGAATCTCAGTGAGCTCCAATTTATCAGACTCACATTTACCAACAAGGAAATTATCGGGTTCACATGGATCCTCTGTGGATTCTCCTGCTGCCAGCATTCATTCATCGGAAGGCCAACTTAATCGCAGTCAGAACAGCGAACTCAGTCGACATGAACAAGGGCCAATTTACGAAAATGTTGAATTCCAAGAAAAAAAACAAATAGAAAAAGAACAATTAAAAAAGCTGAGAGAGCTTGATATGCGAGACTCAGAAATTCATGGCCCATTCAAGTACTCTGAAAGAAGCAGCAGCAAACTGAGGCCTCGATCAAGAACACCATCACCAGCAGTCTTTTTAAATGGTAGCCGTGATGTCAAGAATGGTCTTGCAGAGCTTGATGATAGTAAAGGATCTGACAACAAACTTGACAGCACTGCAGAAACACTTGAGCCTAGTAAGTGAATGTCATTACAGGCCTCCCTCCCTCCCTCCAATTAAATACCACTTTTAGCACCAGGGTTTCCATGGTCTTTAGCAGC